ATGCATGTGTGGCCTATACAGTGACTTGTGGTGGCCGGCCAGCCGATGTATATGTCAATACTTTTTCCTCCCAGACGAGTCTTTTTTCGAATTAGGAGACCCCGTAAGGAAGCAAAGCTTGGTTGGCCTGAGCGAACGTCGATCTGGAATTCGAACCCTGACCGTTTGAGATAGTGCTCTACTTGCCGATATACCACCACCGCTCCGTCTTATGCGCTCTTATAACATGACAAAAGGAATGTCTACTGCACCTACAACTTGAATATGCTCATCCCCAAGCTCTGATTGCAATACGATCAAATAGCACCTGCAAACTCACCTGAATACAACATCTTTTCCCAATCGAACCGGTCGACTGAAACAGGCACTGATGCAGAGAAGCAGGTGTAGCTCATTTCCGCCTAAAGAGTATTTGAATAAATACATACATGCTTTCAGGAAAAGAGTGGATTTGAAGCTAGAATTGAAATCTCGCTGAAGTGGATGCAGTTGAAGTCTCAATGTTGCAACTTTTGCTCGGTAGTCGAGGGGATGGAACTACGTATCGTTAGGACGAGGCACTGACTGCGCACTGTTCGTGCATTGGCTTCAGGATTACATGGATATTGAAGAATATGGCCGAATAGTATGTGGTGACACTTCACTGTTCACGACAGAGGGAGAGAAAGCGGCGAAGCGGACGTGAGTGAGATTTTTATCAGTAGTTATACTTTTCCAGAACATACCGCTTTGGCAGCTGCTGTGATTTCCTCCCTCGTGGGGGCTAGCTTTCTCCACATAAGTAGACAGCAATCGGGAATAGGGATTGGTGGATTTTTCGGCCTGGACAGTATCACAATGGGAGCATTGTCTGTAATTTTTGCAATGATTCAGCAGTTATCCAAAAGTAAAAGAGTCGAACTAGTAAACGCCCGATGCAATCTTCTCACCTTTAAGCAAAACCTTGAGAGTATTGAGGAAAACTGCCAAGTCGCTAATTTCGTGAGTTACTTCATTCAAAATGATAACATCGAATAGGCCAATCTGTAAGTATGAAATCCGTTAAAGGCGGAAGAAATGTTCCAATCGACGGTACTGTAATTGAGTTGTTCGGATGAGAAAAGGCACTAATACATTAGAAGTTTGCTTTACTGCATCTAAATCAGAAACAATCGCTTTCTTCGACCTGGGCGGATGTGGCGCAGAGGCAAGTTTTGCACTACCACATACGCATGATCCGGCTGTCAATCAAATCGAAACCCAGATCGATAGTTGCCTATTCCAACCGGGCCTTCATTTCTCCGAGTTGTTCACTTGGTACTAGCTGTCTGTGGGATTAAGACACAGACTTGGGCATCGGCTGGCCACGCAATTCACTGTATAGGACACATATGCACTCAGAACTCTTCAACGATTTTGAATTGAAGTCGAGTGTTGAAATGCATCCCAAAACCGAGAGATTCTTCCGAACTAAAGGCCTCGATCGGAAGCAATTTGAGCCCTGCACAATTGAAAGCAAATTTCGCTTAAGGCAGAGTTCACTACAAAAATGGCCCCTGAAACCAACATGTGGCTCCCGAGTATGCCATATGGCGCTGTATGGTCGAAAATGGCTTAGTAACGACACAGTAACGGCGCAAAGACCCAATCATTTGAAATCACAATCCGCGGTAGTTAAGAGGTACGCTTTTCAAGTTGGAAAACGGTAGTGTTGGTGGAAAACAGCGCAATAGTGGCGGAGAAAGCGAGAAAACCCCTTATCTTTGTGAAAAATAAGGTTTTGTAAAAGGGTTCAAATAGAGATTGTGTGAGGGTACCATGACGGAAATGGCATAGTGAAGAAAGGGGGTATTTCTACGAGATTCAAGTTGTTGCGATTCGTACAGGGTTGCGTGAAGAGCTGACTAAATTAAGTCAAATAAATCTAAAATTAACTCTAACTGTCGTCATGGGTCACGTCCAGTTCTCTAAAATTCTAACCTTGGAGTCCTTCGAGATGATGCAGCCTACACGGGTCCGGGAACTTCTCCCCTAACACGGCGTCGCACCCGCCGCACACGCCGCCTATNGCAGGATTGCGATGAAAGATTGGAGCGCGCAATTTGTGAGGTAGGGAGTCCTTTAATTATTTGAATTGGCTGGCCGCTCTCTTCGATTTCAATGCAGTCTTGATCGTCGCTTACATAGGACGAGTCATTCTAATTAATCAAGTCTAATAAACATGAAAACTAAAAAGAAACAGAAGAAAAAACGATAAAATCCAATGAAAAAGCAAGCCAGTCAAGGAAAAATATCGCGTCCTACCGATATTCGGGAGGCGGGGTGAGTACGGTAATTGCAGTGGCATTTGCCGCATGCCGCAAGGGAGAATGCCGCGATAGGGGAGAAGTTCCGTTACCCAGCCTACACATACACAACTCCATTAAAACTCGTCCGCTACGGGTGCGGCATTCAGCCGACACATCTCCGGACAGTTCCGGTATCTTCTTCCCGAAAACGGCGTAGCGTTCGCTGCACGCGATCACGCGCAGTCGCTCACTTTGAAGGGAAAGATTTGAATTCCCAGTGCAAAGATGGGTAGTCGCCGCGTGACCTTTGCCGCTTGCCACGGGAATTCGGGGAGAAGTTTCGGCACCCTCTCCGAGCCCTTATAACGCCCTACCTAGGCCATTTGCCAAGACATCAGGGGAGAATTCTCAGAAACCAGTTTATCGTGAACGATGCCTTTAAGGAGGATCAGTTCAATGATTGCTGCCCAGTTTGGAAACATTTCGCTTTGCCAAAGCTAATTTCTTGCCAGATGATCCTCCATAACGGTTCCATTCTTAATATCTGTTCGTGATGATTCCTGCACTTCTCAGTCTTTTTTGAGAATTATTAGAACCGTGGGGTTATCCTACCAATTGTGTATTGCTACTCTGCTAGATTCCTTTCCAGAGGTCCCAACTGAAGGCAGTTCCACATGGTTCCTCGTGGTGGAACATATGGTAAACATATGCAGGGTGAAATAGGGGACTAAGAATCTGAGGAAGAAACTCGTTATTGTGTTTCCAGCATCTCGACGGTAGTTAACTGAATTCACAGCTTCATATTCCGGCGATTCGCAAGAAGCTATAAACATACAGAAACGAAAATTCAGAGCGGCGAGAGCCAAGGAACTACCGTAAGAGTTAAGGGGGTTATTGTAAGAGCCTAGGGGTTACCGCAAGAGCCTAGAGGGTTACCGTAAGAACCCTGGGGGGTTACCGTAAAACCTAGGGGGTTACCGTAAGAGCCCAGGGGCTACCGTAAGAGCCAAGGGAGTTACTGTGAGAGTCTTGGGTTACTGTAAGAGCCTGAGGATTACCCAAGAGCCTGGGGGTTACAGTAGGAGCTTGGGGGTTACTGTAAGAGCCGAGTGCCAGTATTGAATTTTCGTTTCTTTTATAAACGTCAGAGAAAGGAAGGAATCGTCGCTCGCTGAGGAGATGTCGGGAAGCTAGACACAGGTGTTTTCTAGCTGCCCTTGATATCCTAGAAATTGTAGCATCATACAATCTGCAAAAATAAGCCGGCTTGCTAGTTCCTCTACATTCATGCGCTGCTTCATGGCCCCCTGTAGGAAAAATACTTATGAGAAGAAATTAAATATTGGCAGCATCAGTATCCCACAGTCCCTTTGCTTCCTTGTCTCTCCTTTGAGAGAATGTTGCCTTTCTATCCTTTCGCCAACTTCGTCACTGGCCATTGCTCTCAGAGAAGCTGACTGGTTCACATTTTCTATTAGATTGAATTTCATTCCATGAGAAGAATCCACATGCGCATGTGGGTCATCTTCCAAAAATCTTGACTGCCATAAATTGAAATAATTATGTGGTTCAAAAAAGCAGTCGGGTATATATGTAGATGCGAAATCAAGCTACAATCCCCTGGCCTCTGGTCAACATTCGACATGTGAAGGAATATATGACTGAGCCCACACCTGTTCTCTTTACACAGATGTTAGCACCTGTTGGGTGATACCTGTTTCGAAATCATAAAACGGCGCATTCAATGGGGGATATGGCTTTTACTGGGCCTCATGCACTCATAGAAAAAGGAGGTTAGAAAGGTGTCAGGATTTCACTCGAAAACAGTCTCCAGTGTGCATGCATATATCAGTATATGGAAGAAGACGGAGCACTGCAGAGCCTCAGGCAGTTGATTGCTCAGTGTACATAGACTTTCTCTAACAATTTTGCCTTTGATGTCAGCTTTTGCTTCGATTATTTTTAACGTTTCCTTGCCGCCTAGAGGTTTTGTGGAATCAAGATCGAGCCATGGCGAGTTCGAGTTTGGCCATTCAGGGAGCAGCGGATAGCACTTGAAATTGGGGACACAATGAGCCATGTTCCCAAAGCGGCAGTGAAAGGTAGTTCTATACAGTTCTGGTTTGATGTAGTCAGTTCTTTGAGCAATTGCAACGACTGAACTCTCGTCCGAATACCCTTCCATGCTATTTCCGCCGTGGTAATCTCGTCCAACCTCTATTTCCCCTACTTTTAAGCGACCTCATTTTTTCGAAATTGTCGGATTTTCTCGCTTTCTTCACTACCGATGAACTATTCAAAACCCATTCCGCTTCTCGAATAAAAAGGGGTGCCTCAAAATTATCGCGATGTTTGCCTTTGAAATCAGATCCGATGTGCACCATGAATAAATCACTCGAATGAATAAAATGATCGAGTGACGCGATTGTCAGATTTGAATTACTCAGTAATGCCTAAGTGAACAAGAGTTCTGGTCATGATACAGCTATGGTTGATGCCAAGATGCCTGCGATAGTTCTTTCCCCTTCGAGCTGGGTATGAGATGAGAACTGATGCTCAGAAAGAGAAGATTACGTGGCGGAGTATTGTTCGACGACAACAATTCTCTTTTGGGAACTTTTATTCAGAATTGCCATAGCCCTCAAATGTGTATTAGGCTTATGCGAAAAAGGCGCGCTTACTCCAGGTATTCTCTCAGATGAGTTCATAAGTCCGACTTTAGAGACCAGGAATCCTGGCTTGATCTGGGAAACTTGTCTGACCACACATGCTGACTCAACTACCTACAGTGCACCACTTCCAATCAGCCCACCTGCAGCGTGTAATGCAATAGGACAGACTGTTCACAGCAACTACGCTGCATTTGTAATACAAGTAAAAGACCGGATAGATTTAGTCAAGAGCTACATCGAGGCCCTTGAAAATGCAACTCACATCTTTGATATCATCGTAATTCTTCTTGAAATCAACCTTCTTGTAAACGGTATTGGAAGGAAGATCGAACTCTGGCTTATCTCCTCGTGCAGCGATCAGCAGTCTAGAAAAGAAACATCCGATAGAAAAACCTTCAGCAAGAGTTAAGCAATCATTTAGTTCAAAGCTACCGAAGATTAGCTTTCTTGAAAACTGGCGCTAGATATGAAAAATTGGAGCAATTTTCCCCGCCCGTGCAATTTTATCGTGTGAGCAGTCAATGCGACCCCTTCCCCCTCCCTTATTTGGATGTTTCTATTCTAAAGTTTATTCTCTCTCACTGTATTCACACCATGAACCCCGTAAGTACCGATTTTCATCAACCCCACATCAACTTGAGCAGAGCAGCTGTCATATTCACTGTTTTTCATGATTTATCTTCATCTTCTGTGCAAGCCTTGGTCCAAGCAAATAGACAAGGACAGCCTAAATGTGGCCGTGTCATAAATGAAAAATTGGTGATGTTTTGGGAGGGTGAACCATCTCCTAAGCATAGTTGTGTGGAAACGAATGTTTGCTTGGGAACGTCAGGGCGAGTTAAAGTCCTGAAGCCCTGTAACCAACAGATCTGGAGCGCATGGAAAGTGTCACAAGACAATTTTCATCGATAAAAGGCGAAAAAATTATTTTGCTTCCTGCTTGTCTACTTGTTATTACAATTACTTTACAGTCTTCATAGTTAAAAAATAATTTTAAAGAAATTACTTATTATTGGAATGCTTTTCAGCAAGGGATATGGCGAAAACGCATGCTTCATCGGACACATCCAGTATTTCTAGGTTCTCACTTCGGCCAACCTGAAATGGATGATAGAAGGCTTTGAAACTTATATCAGCCAGTGCCATCAGTGAATTCGGAACGATTACCGTACCTTGTTCATAATCCATTCCCAGATATCTGGATGATGTATAGTTTCGAATTTTTTCATCACATCATATTGTTCCTTGCCGAATTTTACTTTCTGGAAAGGAGTATGGTAGGTATCAGTTGTTAAAGACGAAAAAGAACTCTTTGTAAGGTTTTTTTCCCTTGTAAACTCAAATTTCGGAATGCTTCGAAAAACATTAACTGCAGTAAGTAAGAATCGATTCATAATGTTGTAATAATAATGAACCCATCCGTAAGTAACGCCTGTTTTGCTCAAACAAAAGGAGTTGAACTCAGTGAACTATGCAGGCACAAGTAAATAGGAATCTTACCGAGCGTGACATCCCTCCCGAACGTGATGGCCAATCTAACAACAACGGGTCTCATGATGTGGATTGAGCTTGGTTACTTGTCACGCCTGTTTAAAACTGCATTGCAAGAAAAGAAATTCTCCAACTCCCACTTTACATCGGCCCGCCGCCGATAGGGGTTCCGTGTGGGTTCGATTGCTCTCCCAGAAGAAGAACTGAGTTCATATACGAGATACCATTCGCTGTCTTCTTCTCCTTCTTCTCCCTAATCTCAATCCTGCGCAGTTGTAGGGTCCGCTATTTTTGTCAACTGCTTTCAGTTCCTTCTATCTGTAGCATCTCTGTAGTTACTTAGGCCTTGGCGAGGTCCATCTTGATCACTTTTGCCACCACTTCTTTATGACTCCTCGTGGTCATTCACCTCGAGCCTCGAATTCCTTGCTTCCCTTCACGGAATCGCCCTTAAACAAGCAAGATGCAGATGACCATATCCCCCTCCCAGACGTCCTCATAGACAAGAAGTAAACAGAGAGCTCGGTAGAGTTCCAAAAGCTATCAGATACCAACACACATTCACCGAAAGCAAAGGAATGAGGCTTTTAGGCGTCGATCAACCCAGTTTCCGCGTACACCCCATATTCGACTTATATTCAAAATTATAGTGCTGCATCTGAAGATTATTTGGTCAGTCCAATGAATTGGCAGCAGAAGCCATGTCAGCAATTTTATCTTTTCAAATGAAACAGTTCAAAAGTAGTCACCTCTGAGAGGATGGAACGCTTGCCATGGGTGTGATAATGCGCCAATTGGCAGCAACCACCTCCGATTTCACCAAACTTTTTAGAAAAAAACCAAGAAAAGCTATCATCGTCATGTGGTCTCATTGAAAATTGAAGGTCTGTCATTTATCACCATAAATCACCAGAGGCATCAATGCTCGCTCTCACAGCAGTACACATCAAAGTTTACCCCTCTACCTGCCCCAATACTGCAAGCCGGTGGGCAGGTCGGTGGGCAGGTTCATGTGGGCAGTTACCAGTTGGACGTAATCACAGTGCGTGCCCAATGATCCCTAGTCGTAATGATCACGTCCACAAACTTGCAGCACATCCGACCTAATCACTGCCCTGGCAAATCCATTTGTAACTGACCTTTGTCTTCCACCCACTGCTTAGTCGAAATAGGTCAATATCATTCTATCTGGTTTAGGAATTGAGTTGAGTACTTCGAACGGGCGACCAAGGGACAAGGGACTCTCCACAGCTGGATCACATGAGATCTAATCCGAGCTTTGATTCCTTAATCAGGGATGTGGTATCGGGAGCACCTGTTGCTGCCTCATCCATGAGATGAGCAGAAAATGGTACTTCCCACGCAATCCATTTCCTCCTACGAGCCTGACGTGTACTAGGACCGGATAGTTGTACTTCGAAAAGAATAAGCCCGAAACTTCAACCGAGGCATTTTCTGGGAAATGCTTGGCTTGAAGTTCAGATGCCTCTTTCATCGGGTGTTCTGTGGTCTCCCAATAAATGTCCAAAGAGTCTCAGACGCCGATTTAGTCGAACCGATGCATTAATCGTGACGTTCTCTATTCCAACTGTGCCACAAACCTTTGTTAGCATCCCCATTTGAGGAGAATGGAACTGCCCTGAATTGTGCCTATTATTCAGTGAAAGGATCTGACCGAACCTATACGGCATCACCACATGTTTCGTAAGAGTTTCGTCGCCCCTGAATCTCCTCCCAAACTTATCCATTTCTTCCTTTTCAGACCTCACACGTCTTCTTGTATACTTTGAGAGCATTTGTGGAAGTTCCTGATCATAGATATCGGGATACACAATCATTGTGACAATCCGCTATCCTCTCCTGATATTCTCATAAAAGTCGTTCCCCACTTCTTCGCTTTACACGCCATATCACTTAACTTTTTGATCCTCTCAGCATAAAAGAAAGTATCCTATTCCATGTAATGCTTCCTTCAACCAGCCAACATCAAGGTGAGGATTCCCCTTCCACTGAACCCTTCCTATGAGGCAAAACCACAATGCAGCACGAGACAAACTTTCGTCGAAGTTATAAACTGAGAGAGGCTATGACCGACATAATTTCGACAGCTGTAGGGTTTTGGGTGTAAAACGAATCGAACTCAAACCACCACATAAGTCACTGAAATAAATCGGGACCCTAAGGGAGTCTCTCTTGATCCCGGTAAACCTCAGTTCCTCATAAAAAGTGGAGGAGTAGCGTTTGAATAGAATATGCAAGATTACCAGTTGGGGCGAGGAGCGAATGACCCCATTCACTTTGAGTTCTAAAGCTCAACTAAAAGGAGAAAATAGCCTTTTTTCATTGGCAATAAAGCCGTCTTGTGTCAACTGGGACTTGACTTTGTTACATCTCAACTTTACTACTGGGTTCTTCCAAATTCTTTCACATCTGGATAAACTCTATGTTATACATGTGATGTTTAGTGCAGTCGAATCTCTGGCAACCTATTATATCCAACCAGCTGCTCAGTACTGTCTTTCCCCTCTCCCGAATCTTGAGAAATTGCAATGCACGCATTTTTACTAATCTACAACAAGCTGCCGAAGATGGCACTGAACGGCGGAAACGAACCACTTTGACATCTTTTCACGAAAGTAATCTAGGCACAAATGCTGAAGCGGCAAAATATCAAAGGAGAAAAGCCTCTTGCCGAAAAGACACCTGGTACATAAGTAAAAGTCTGGATCTCTTTGACAAGAAAAGGTATAACCGAGCAGCTTATGACGAGAGGTTGACGAGACTTTTACGATCACGAAGACGAGCTACAACTCTGCTGCAGGTTAAAAGTTTGCAGTGGCCAAGAAACAGTTGCTCAAAGCTCAAATTTCAGTTGACCAAAGTGCTGCGGGTGGGTGAAAAGGTGAGCTATATCATACAGCCTAATAGGCAACAGACAACAGTTCCGCAATGATGACACGAAAGTGACGAATGACATTGGTTGTCATAGGGTTTGCTCGAGTAGCTAATTCTCTCCCCAAGGGCCGGGGCAGCGTACTGGGAAGTGGTGCACTATCACACACACAAAGTTCGGGAAGTGCGGGAGTCCCGGCTAGATAGTAACCCATGTCAACAAAGTCTCCGTTTTCGGGTGAGACGGTCAGTTGGCACTCGACCCGTATGAGCGAAGGAAAGCTCTAATTTGTACATCGGCTGTCCACCACAACTCATTGAATAGGTCACATACTCGTTTAGGAGGATAAAAGCACTGACTTTTACATTGCCTGGTCACCGTAAGTCATTGTATAGGCCACATACACATTCAATACGTCGCTACGATTCTGGATGGAAGTCGAACGCGGTGGCGTATTCCTCTGATGAAATTGATAAATGCCTCCAAATTCCTATCCTTTACCCTTCATAGTATTTATCATTTTTCGTGAGCCCACAAAGAACGAACATATCTTACTGCTCCAAGTACATGTGTTTCTACATGTGGCCCAGTAAAATCATGAAGACGAAAGATTCAGCCCGAACATCGGGAGTGCTCCATATGTCTATTGCTTCTTACTAATTAATCGTGGAGCTGAATTATTCATCATAATGGTTTTCTAGAAGTAGAAAACGTCATAAGCACCACCTGCTTCGCTCACTCCTTATTCATTTATCTTAGCCCTTATCTTTCGAGCCCTAGCCCCTGCTTCACAATCCCAGGCTGCTCACAATTATAATCCTTCCCTGGTGACAGTCAGACATTGAACTTTTGAGAAATCAGTGGCCCAACATACTCAGCTTCAAATGCGGAGTATAACTCGAAGTTTAAACCTTCGTCCATCCGCTCCAGCAAAGATAGATGAAGAGATCCTGTGGATCAAGTATCAGCAGCGCTCCCGTCTTTAGACGAAGAGTCAGATACTCGAAGATCAGACGGGTGAAGTGGGTCATACATCGGGTGAGATATNTGTTGAAGAAGAGAGAACCAGTCGATTTTCGAAGAAAGCGATTTTGTGAGCTATGCGGGTGTTTGATTCCCTCTCACGTCACGCAGCAACTCTCGTCAGCTGCTTTGCTACCTTGCTGTCTATCCATGTGCCATGTGTTGCTCGCTACCTTTGGGTGACACCCTTCGCCCGCAGAACGTGGGCCACAGATTCGTCTCTGATGCTTTTTAGCAACAGCACACTCCTCATTCACATCTTCGTTGCCCACCACTACGTTCTTACAAAGCTCCATTACGTTCAAGGAGGGGCTCTTGGTTGCCAAACTTAAGTTCTACAAAGGGCTTTGAATCGCCTAACAACTTCTGTTCCCAGTTGAATCGAAGGAAGACGATCTGCCTCCTTTATGAAAGACCTAAGCGAGTGAGGGAGGATGCTTCGTTCCTATCGTGAAGTATCAAAGATCTACTTCACTGCAAATAGTGACTCCTAAGAAGCATGGAAAGGATAGCAACGCTCTTTTTACGAAACGAGATGACAGATGACAGGCGATAGGATAAACGGGAGTTTTTTCTTGCCGTGGAAACGACAGATTTAACTCTACGGGATGAATGGCATGAAGTCGGGCAAAACTGTACAAACCGTTCGAAAACATCCGCAAAATGTTTATTACAGAGATTTTCTATATTAGGAAGCACAAAATAAAATTTTTTGAGCGATGAGAATGAGGCAGTTAATTGATGGGTAGTCTCAGCATGCTTACTGATGTCATCGACCAAATCGCGATTTCACGATCAAGTATTTTGTATTTGCGCCAGATACAAGGGAGAAGGTGATACGGTAGATGACATTTTGCGTATTTACTAAGGAACCATCACCATTTCCTTCAAACATCACAGCTATTCGCAAACTCAAGGTAACCTACTGATACACAGTGAAATATCAATAGACGGGGTAGGTCGACGTTAACAAATGAGCATTGAAGTCAGAAAAAATGGGATAAGCAGGTTCGGCCGAAGAAAAATGATGGAGTGAAGGCCTCTGCCAAGTGTTGAGATATGTGCTCATTGGATCCTTGAAAAACCTATCGCGATCGACGTGAGA